TTGACCAAGGGAATACTGGAAAAAGAACATGTTTTTGATGGGCTTACTGATAATGTCCATCTTTGCAGTGGTGGGTAAATAAGTGGCAACTATTTCGTCATCTGGTTGGGTAAATAATGAGTCAACCATCAAATTTCCGATAAGGAAATCCAATGGACGGGAAATTGATTGCATACTATAGCTATGTTAGCTGTGCTAGATATGATGGTGTGATTTTGTCAATGCACTCCCTGAAAATCACCATTTTCCAAAGCCCGCTTATTCCCATAGTGTGCTGGCGACTTTCCATGGACTCTGTGTGTTACCGAATCTGGTGTGGCACACATCATCTCCACCAACTCTTCTGCCGATTCATCATCATCAGGTGGTGCCTCCTGCACTCATCACAATTGATATATATATATATACACGAAACCACTGGTTACCATTCAAAGCAAATATCTCAAGAAATGGAAAATATAGATACAACAAATTCCCATAGTGACAGTTCAAATTGCAGAAAACTACCCTATGTGTTTTTTCTAGGCCTGTCAATGTGGATTGCGTAAAGATGTATCAACCCTTCATGAGTTGACCCTACATCCCCCGCTCCTGGGATGAATCAGTATCCAAAGAGGCCATTCTTTGCAATGGATGTGAGAACAGCTATTGGTGATTGTGGAGCCAATAGCTGCTGCAATCACCGAGCGATCAACCCTTGAACATGTGTTCGGGGGGTCCCCCAAGGATGTCCTTGACTCTGCCTGGGTTCTCCCAGGGACGATTTATCGTACAAAAGTCATATGTTGAAAACCACCACTAACGTGGCTAGCATTTTACACCATTCAAGGTTTCCAACATGGAAGGAATCCCACTAACGTGGCTATCATCCTGTTCTCCATCACACGTATAACATAGATTTATCAAAAGAAGGGCGCAACTAACATGGCTATCATTGGGATATGGCCATTTTACACGTAACTAACGTGGAAAAACCTATCGTTATACGCGGGTTTTTAGCGCTACGTTAGTTTACCAGAGTGTAAAGTACAAGTGACATAGGTACCAACTTTGTGGAATGTTGCCGATGCTGGGACCAAGCCTTTAGCAACCAAACGCATTCAGATGTTGCTGCGTTGCATTGGAATGGCACGCGCAGAGGGTGGTCAAACCATTGGCCAGGAGGAGTATGAGGTGCAGTTTCAAAAGTATTCCAGCGGAAAGCAAATCAATGCACTTGCCAAGAACATTGCGAGAGTGATTGTTTTCATGGGCCTTGAGCCTTTGCAAGGAGCAACAGCCATGCCCCTTGGTGAAAGTGACATCTATGGAACCAACTCCCAATGCACTATCGAGCCCAATCATGTTCAAAGCGAGCGTTACTCCTGGATGTTCATCATGATGTGCAGCATTTTGATTTTGGCAGTGGGGGATGGGTTTGCAAAAGAGCAAATGACGCCTACACAAGCTTCGATCACGTTTACACGCAGTATGCCATCATGTCTTCAGCTGTGACAATTCTGGAAAGGAAAGTTGCGCAGATGGAGGCAGATCTCAGACGTTTGCGTGAAGGACACACAGAACTCTCTGGCGAGATTGAGATGGTGTCGGACTCTACAGAAAATATCCAATGGGGGTTGACCAATATGGGAGGTTACACCACTTTCCATGGCCTCACACCTATGCCTATGCAGCGCCAACAGATTTACGGGCTGGAACGGGCAAACTTGATTGCAGCAAGAACAATGGGGTTCGAACCCAAAATCAAGGCATAGTTGATGGAGGTGATGATACTGACATGGAACAACATGCACAAGAAACTGCAGAGGAAGAAGCACCCGTTTTTGACTGTCCAATTGAACCAGATGACACTCCAGAGCTCAGCCAGGTCACCATGACCCTGCGTAATGAATTGAATGACAGTTTGCGCAGAGAGCAATGGAGTGATGCAGCTGCTTTTCAAAACTGTGTGATGCGGTGAATCAATATCAGCCAGTACCAGCAGATGTGAGACGTGAGCTTTACTTTGCGCTGGCTGCAGACATCCAAATCCTTGTCAACCGCCATGCAGAGACTGACGCCAATCTGTCAGAGAGATATCAACAGTATGTGAACCAACTCAGAGAGATGGCCTATAATGCAACATAGGTGCAAAGGAAAACTTTTGCCGGGGAATGATGGCAACTCCCCGTAACCAGAATGCCATCTTTGCCAAAAGGCAAACTTTTTCATGCCGGGGAATAGTGGCAACTCCCCGTTACCATAATGCCACTAGGGTCAAAGCAATCCCAAATGGGAATATCCATTGAAGTTTGTGCGCAGCAGCCGTGCCAAAATGGAGTGGAAATGGAAGCTAAAGACTCCACATTCCCAAGGAGGAGTCTGAAACATTTGGCAGAGCACTCATGTCCATGCATGGCCCCTGCGCAAGGATGACACTTCATGGATTTGCACTTGTAGACGTCTCACATGGATCATGGACAGTTCATGCAAAACGCATTGAATACTGTAGGCCCTGCTTTCGGTTTCGCAATATGTCAAAGACGCCTTCAACAGGCGACGCATGACCAAAGACGGGGCTGTACACAGAATGCATTCATATCCTGCAGGCATTGAGGCTGTTTTGCGCTCAGCCGTGATGCGCTGGCAGATATCAGCGAGCATGAGAGCTTTCCTACTCACGAGGAATCAGATCCGACTTCTTCGGATGAAGGAGAACGAACCCACAGTTTCTTCCAAGCTTTGCGTGGTCGAACAGCAGTATATTCAGGAAGCCGACACGTTGATTCAGTTGCCAATGCGTTGGTCAGAGGTGAAAACACAGAGGGTCCTGTTGAGAACTCAGATGATGATGTTGAAACATCCACAAATGTCAGGAGACGATACTACAGCGGCACGCAGAGCCAAGTATCAAATCCAGACATGTGGACATACCTGCATTGCTCTAAGTTCGGACGTGAGGAAACCAGCAACTGAAAAAGAGGCAAAGGATGCGGTTCAAAGCCACTCAATAGCACTGACGTTGAGGCATCAACTTTCAGCTTTTGCACTTGGACAGGCTTACGGGCAACTTGGATCCTGAGTAGTTCTTTTCTATTTGCAGAAAGGCAGGCCTGAGGATAACACAGATCTCAAGTAGCCAAAGGAATTTACCTTGAGGAATTTAGAGTGTTTCACAGAAGACGCCACCACGCAGACAAAATGTCTCGACATTTTATATTTGTTGCAATGCTTCCCAGATGATAGCATTGAGGTGGGGTGCAACATATTTACGCACTTTGCCACATGTCACAAAGCACGCATCAATTGTCATGCAATTCAGTTCACTTGATGTGCAACACGCACGAATCAATAATCCTTGGAGGCGCTTTTGGTTCAGCGAAAACAAACAATTAATGAAATATAAATATAGTTTTCAGGGATAAGAGGGTCAGCCTTTTTGCTATATTGACCGCAACCGTGAAGACGAACATCTGATTTCCAGATCTTGTGTTGCACTCGTTTTGATTTTCATGCACGTGAAATTTTTCGATTTTGGTCGTTTTCATTTTGAACACGCCAGGTGCTGCTAGCATCAATATTTTTGGCCAATGTGCGTTGCAATGCGATCGTGTATGAATGCATGGTGTGATGGGATGATTTTTTGGTTCTTGGCCGTACCATGACGGCCATGTCGTCCAAACTTACTTGTTTCTTTTTCAAACGTGGGAATGAAGCGTGCGCCATTTTTGTTTTTTTGGGCAAAGTGCGTTGAGTGAACGTCACCCACCAAGAGTGCACCTTTGATTTCTTGAACATGCAAGTTTGCTTTGGTTCCCACCATTTCGGGCGAAACCTAGTGATATTTTGATGGAAATATTGTTTGGAGGACAATTCCACTACAGGTTTCATTTCCAACCAAATTTTGGTTCATGCGCCGGTACACCAAACATTTCTTGTTTAATGGAATTCCAAGAGGGCAACAATGTCGCGATTTTTTATACATGAACCCATGTTGGACAAACCGCAGATACTGGTGGTGACATTTGATTTGGTAAATTTGGTACTAGTCCATAAAGGTCCACCCTCCACAAATTCCCACAATATGGTGACAATTTCAGATTTGGTTTTGCTGCTCAAAATATTGTCATGTTGCATTTGGCATTATTTGGCTGTTTAGGCTCTAAATTGTTTGGGTGCTGTCTTGTGCAAAGGCACGGCCGTGCAATGAATGCCCGCATATTTTTTTGTAAAAAAAACATGTTTGTTTTGACGCCGGAGACCACGTTTGCACGCAGGTCTTGTCAACTTGTTGCCATGAGGCCCTAGTCCGTGTGCATTTTGTGTGGATATGCTGCTGTCAACAACACGTGTTTCTTTGTCGACTTTTGTGACGAGGAACTCTGAATTCCGAAGCCGAACAGTTGCAGCAGCTGGTATGGTGCTTGAAAACATTTGCGTGTTTTTTTGGTGAAAATACAATTTCAGTTGTTGCATCAAAAAACAATCACGTCAACAGTGCGTTGCAAATGCAACGCCAGTGGTAGCATGGCGGAACAACAAATTTTATTTGTGAACGTATTCACTTGCAACCAATTTACAAGCAAAATTCTAATGGATTGGAAATCTACTTTCATTGCCGTGCCACATTCAGGTCTGATCGCGTTGGCGTTGGCATCTTAAACATTTCATAAAAGAAAACCATGCAAGGCCACAATGAAGGTGGAAGGCGAACATGGACCCAATCAAAAGGAAAAAACGCAAAAATTCAAAAAATGTTTTTGGTTTGGCAATGATTAGCGTTTGACTCCGATTGACTGGAAAAAATGCTGGCAACATTGGACCAAGGTACGGCGGTTATGACACTTCGTTCGCTTCGCCAAACGCACTGAAGGTACATGTTGATGTTTGAAAAACATGAAAACAAAGTCTGTTAATGCTTGTTAGTTTTTTAATTTAAATTCATCCATTGCCACTGCGACAACCAATCTTGCAAATTCAGCGTGTTTCAGGCTCCTGAAACTCCAGTCAGCCACAATAGGATGCAGCGTGTGGCGCTTGGAAATGGGATGGGCCACATGGTCATTGGATCTTTATTTCAGAATTTTTGTTTTTCGGATGAAATTAAATGTTTGATCAACATATTTCACGATGACACTCCTTTGATAATTCGAGCAAAAACACCTGCTTCAGGATTTTTTTCCAGGTACTGACTGTCGATGTGTACAGGCGCAAATTCCAGTGCTGTTGGAGTCATTGGTGCTGGTGCTGTGGCTGCTTGTGCAGCAGCTGCGGTCAGGCCAGGCCCAGTCACTTGCATTTCTCAGCATTAAATAAAGGAACCGACTGACAGGATTGAATCATTTACCATTTCCAAAACTTTTCGAAAGGTCAAATGGGTTCATACCATTTCCACCTTTTTTGCTTTCGTGGTTGGTGTGTTTTTGTTCATCACAGTGCAAAGCTGCAGGGCCGGGAGGCAAACATGTTTTGATAGTGGCATTGTTGTTTAAATCATTGTGGATATGATGGCGAAGCCGAGTCAGGCTCAAACATAGTCAATGCAGTTTCCCTTGTCGTCACTGATGTAGAATTCTGGCACACTGATGGTGTCCAATGTGGGAAAAACACTTTACGCGCACTTTGCGGGCTCTGAACGTTCTGGTGAATCTGCTGACGATAAGGATCAATTGAGCGCTCAACTGGTTCCTGGGCAGTTGCTGGAGTGTTGCAGGCTACCCTAGAGCCTCTAGAGCCGTAAGTGAGTTTTCTTTGCCTTGACACACACTGTGGGCCCACACACACAGACACATAATTCTGGAATCAACTTTGCCCTCGCTGCTGTTTCCCGTGCGTTTCACCAAATCTGAAGATTGCTTTCCCCATTGTCACATTAGAAGTGTTCACAATTTAAGAAACTAGTGAAAGAACAGAGGATTAAAGAGCAGCTACATGTGCCTTGACTTCTGTACAGTGTATTTGTAGCCGTCATCAATAGCCACTGAGCAAAGTCACCTGGCATATCCTAGCATCTATTTTGATGTTGGACCTCCATGTTGTGAAACCATGTTCAACCCAGAATGAACCGTTCCACTTGATTCTGTTGATATTCCGTCCATTTCGTGCTTTCTTTACGGTATACAGTAGTTTTTATCGATTTATTGTATTATTGTATTATTGTATTATTGTATTATTGTATTATTGTATTATTGTATTATTGTATTATTGTATTATTGTCTTATTGTATTATTGTATTATTGTATTATTGTATTATTGTATTATTGTCTTATTGTCTTATTGTCTTATGGTATTGTTGTCTTATTGTCTTATTGTATTATTGTATTATTGTATTATTGTATTATTGTATTATTGTATTATTGTATTATTGTATTATTGTCTTATTGTCTTATTGTCTTATTGTATTATTGTATTATTGTACTATTGTATTATTGTATTATTGTATTATTGTCTTATTGTCTTATTGTCTTATTGTATTATTGTATTATTGTATTATTGTATTATTGTATTATTGTATTATTGTATTATCTATTGTATTATTGTATTATTGTATTATTGTATTATATATTGTATTATTGTATTATTGTATTATTGTATTATTGTATTATTGTCTTATTGTCCTATTGTCTTATTGTCTTATTGTCTTATTGTCTTATTGTATTATTGTATTATTGTATTATTGTATTATTGTATTATTGTCTTATTGTCTTATTGTCTTATTGTATTATTGTATTATTGTATTATTGTATTATTGTATTATTGTATTATTGTATTATTGTATTATTGTATTATTGTATTATTGTATTATTGTCTTATTGTTTTATTGTATTATTGTATTATTGTAGTATTGTATTATTTGTTTTTCATCACCTTAAATGGCATCGGATGGCTCGTTCGAGGCGTCTGGAGCTGTTGTTCCAAGCAGGCAGCGCCCATTCCATGCATGATGGTCGTTTGACTTACGGATTTTAGCAAGTATTAGATAGGATTGCATGACTCAAACTTGAGGTGAATGAACAGTTGATCAACAATGATCAACAATCTGTTTCTTCGCATTTGAAGAGACTTTCATGCCATGCTTTGATCTTGACCTGTGTGTGTGTGTCTAAGTGCCTGTACGTATGCATGTGCTGCAGTTGCAGGCATGAAGCTCATGAGTCTCTCCAGACTTTGAAGCCAACTCGAGAGGTTTCAGCAGAGGTCTCAGCAGAGGTCTTGAAGAAAAGATCCTTGGATCCTCAGTCCTTGGAGAGCGAAGGTAGCCAGGGTGAAGATAAGAAGGAGACCGATTAACGCCGTTAACGCTGCTGACAAGAAGGAAACCGATAGCAACGGCAGCGAAAGCTCAAGTAGTTTGGCTCGGCTGCAGAGGTGGATCCAATTGGAAACGTGCGCAGTTCATGGAATGTCATGACATGTCATGACATGTCATGACAGTCATACATGCGTACTGAAAGGATTGGGCGTCGGTGTAAGTTCATGCTGTCACCGTCCTAAGCCGTCCTAGGATTCTGCAGATGACTCCAAGTCTTCAAGCACTTCCAGATCTTCAAGTCCCGAGGCCAAAACAGTGCATCTCTGCACCGACTCTGCACCTTCTTCACAGTGCACAGTTTTGCACACTTTAAAGCAGATTTAGAATAATTTGAAACATTTTAGAACTAGATGTGTTTTTGTATCTTTAGCCTTTGCGCGGTATGGAGGTCGGCAAGGCGTCAAAAAGCGATTTGGAAGCTGCAGAGGCCACCAGAGATGAGCAAATCTGCACAGCTCTCACCCCAAAGGTCTCAACACGGAGGCCTTGATTTTTCATGTCGCAACATATTGCAACATCATTTCATACGTAAAGCTTGTGCGCAAAACTGTTGTGCATTTTGTTACTTTGTTTTATAGTAATTTTGTAGTATGATTTTACAGGAAGACGATGATGACGCATGGTAAGGGACGTGTCCCTACTAGTACCTGCACTGCAGTTTCAATCCATTTCATTTGCAAGCATTTCTACATTCAATGGCGTGGATGAAAATTTTCACCAAGCTTTTAAATTTATTTAACTTCCATCTAGTGATCTTCTAGCTGGAAGTTGCGATCACAAGTGCTTTGACCAGGCAGCCAGGAGAATTTGCAGTCTTTTCACTTTTCAGTGGCATACTCATGTGAGGTCCTGTTAAGGGAGGGGGATGTGATGGGTTATATAATAATATTTAATAATGACATTATCACACGATGATATAGCGGCTAGAGTCCTGGTTTCGGATAGAAGCAGTTGATTGCTTCACCTGATTGCCTTTGAAGTTTACAAGCAATAGGAAGCCTAGATCTCCGTTAAGGAACCACGGACTGTATCAGACATCCTTGATTCCTGGCGTACGGTTAACAGATGGTAAAGACTTGATAAAGTGAGGGTGACGAAGGTGACAATAAAGTGGGAGACCCCTGCCTTCGCTCCACTGCGAGGGCGGAAGTCCTGTCTACAGCTGCCACAGTGACTTTGATTTTCTGCGACTTCCATGTGGAGCTGAAGATTCACTGAAGATGCTCGACCTTCAAAAGAAATGCAAGAGCTGGACAAAGCAACGCACAAGCACTGGACAAGCCCAAACGTGAAGGACTGCAAGACATTTGGCAGAGAGGAAATCATTATCACCAGTCAAGATGTTCAGTCAAGGACACTTGGCTGAGGCATAGTCTTTATATATTTATATTTATATTTATATCTATATGTGTATAGTCTATATAGTTATATATAGTTCATGATATACTTGTTGATGCATCCATATGCAGCTATTCTCGTTGCCTTTAAGATATCATGCAGTCATTTGTTGAACACTTCAAATTATGCGGCTGGCTTGAAACTAGTTGTGTGTGCCTGTCCTTTGTCAGGAGTTTCACAAGCTTCAAATGTAAAGGTCGAGATTGCCATCTCTGAAGGGATCAATGACGAAAGATTTCAAGACCAGATACAGAGACCTATGCCTTGGATGCCTTGGCTATACTGCAAAATTTTGTATGCTGCCAAAGTGCATGCCCTGGCAGACGATGAGAGCTTGGCAACTGCAGTTTGTGGATGATGGTGCTGTCAGTGCAACCGTTCAATATTCTCCAGAGAGCCCACTGAAGTCGCTACGAAAGAACACGATTTTGACATGATTCCATGTGAACATATGTGAACTTTCACATCTTTCAGGGCCTTGTCACAAGATGTTCATTTAAGTTTCGCAGTTTTTTCATACCTGTAATGTACACAGTTCGAGACTGAGAATTGTTCAGTCTCAAATGCGATGCATGGATGTTCATAGCGCGAAATTGCTAGCACATGGGAAACTTTTTGGTTTGCACGACAGAGTGAAAGCCTGATCCACCATTTGGCTACTGTGGCACTGTGGTGTCATTTTGACACACAAAGAGTGAATGAATCAAGTGAATGAATAGGATTCATATGAATAGTATATATATATATATTATGTATGTTATAGATGATATCTGATGGAATGACATGTGGCGACGACTTGTTGGCACTCCTGAAGTGATAGGCCTGGACGACCCACCAAAGCCAAGACTGGCAGGCGGGAGCATTTGAATTTGGGGTTCTATAGATGACATGTACATGTAACTTGTTTACAGCTCTAGATTCAGATGTCTGTTCGAGATAGAATCATGTGGAATCTGTAGCCGCTGTAGTCTTTGGATGTCTTTGGTTCTTCACCACTAGGCAAATGGCAAACGATGGCAAACTGCACACAAACTGTACACAAGTTGTCCTCTGAGAGTTTTCATTTTCCTCTTGCCAGGACCAAGACGCGTGCACTCAACCCAGACAACTTCAGCGACGTTTGTGACCAGACTGGCGTCACTCTGAACCGCTACATGATCGAGGTCGGGTCCTCTGGCATGAAAGCAAAATTGCAAAGTCATGCAAAAGCATGAAAAGCTTATGGTGAAAACCATATGAAAAGCATAGAATTTGAGAACCATATGAACCTGTGGTGGTTTACAGGCACGGCTTTATGCTGCATTGCACTGCATCATGCTGCTTCACGCTCTTGGCAGGCAAACAGACAAGGTGTAGTTGACACAGACATTTTGTCAGTGACAGACTCAGCCCTGACAGCTTTTGCGCTTGGAGTTTCCTGCCCATTCGGAGAGCCGCTCTCAAGGGAGAATCGGAGGCTTAAGACTTTTCATGCCGGTTTGATCCACGACTTTCTTCCCTTTTCGCTTTTGATATGGACCTGGCTCTCGTCCAAGCCGCCGAAGGTGATGAACTCCATTCGAGAGGTTGGGCTGGGCAGCACTTGAAACTGTATTACTAGTACAAGTCAAAATACAAGGTACGGATGAAGGCCCTGATGCCACACACCATCTATACCCCTGATCCAGACCTTGATACATACTGTACCTTATGATACTGCATGATACATACGTTAAGCAAAGACTGCTGCTGATCGAAACACCGGGCACAGATCAGGGACATTACTGAAACACTCCCAATCCATAGTACGGATCACTACGGAGTGATCCATACCAGATTGTTGACCCACATCCATATGAGAAGTCAATGTCATTCTCGCTTTGGTGAGAGTTGAACCTAGGAGCTGTAGGAAGAAATATCATGAACTATTTTGTCAAGCCGTTATCTTTAGGTTTTAAGCTTCTACTGACATACTGTGACATACTTTTTCTTGATGATGTGCTTGATTTTGAATTATAGAGATTCCCGATTTGATGGCACACACACACACAAAACGATGCATTTATGCCATCCAAGAAGCGTTCATACCCCTCAACGAAAACGGTGGTGTATGATGGTATTCTAGGACCCCCCCTTTCTGTGTGCCATCATAGTGACTTAAGACACCAAAACTATTTAAAACTAGTGCCGCTATCCGCCGCATCTGTTGAAAGCATGGTGTGCCATCTTAGTGTGACACACCCCCACTTGCAAGAAGTATGCACCTGTCTTGTATTGGAAAACTCCATGTATGTTTTGACCTTCGCTCTTGGCTTGTGTCGCTCCATATGTTTTTTCTTGAGTCCACCAGTGTGTTTTCCACAGTTTTGCATGGTCCTGCCTTCATTTTTGCATAGTCTTCCCCGATTGAATGGTCTGGAGAGAGGTGTGTGCCAGCTTAGCGTGCCCCCATTTGCAAGATGTATGCACCTGTCTTGTGTGGAAAGCTCCATGTATACGTTGACTTTCAAATGGCTGACATATGTGAAAAAGGTGGTTTTGAGGCGCTACGCTTCATTTTTTCGGAATCACGTGCCTGGATGTGCCATCTTAGTGTTCCGTGGCAGCCTCCCAAAAAATGTCTGGCCACCCAAAAACGCTTAACCCCTTGCTGGTTCCTATGTGAAACAGTCGGTTTTGAGGTTCTGCTGCTCATTTTTCATATTTTTCGCAGTGGAAAGGAGGGAAAGAACCCAACCATCCAAAAGGTAGTTTGAGCAGCAGTTTTCATCTTTCTCGGACAGGATGCGCCTGGATGTGCCATCTTAGTGTTCTGGTAAAATCATTGAACAGCAATGAAAACTAGTGGAAAACATGGGAAATGTCGAAAAATGAAAAGAAACACTGAGAAATAATGAAAAATAGTGACACATATCTTAAAACTTAAAATGTTAATCATTCAGAGCTGGGGATGGCAGGCTCGAGGACTTCGACCCGGGGACGGGAGGCTCGAGGACTTCGACCCAACAAAAGGGGAACACACCGGGGCAATCCACCAGGGTCCTACAACAGCATAAGGAAAGAGAACGAGGAAACAAAAGTGGAAACAAAATGGAAACATGAAAAATGAAAAGAAAGGAAATGTCATATTGATAATTTCTATTTCTTTGAACTATTTTAAAATAATGTTTCTCTAATCCTCCTGGGAATTTAGCCTAAAGACTGGAGGACATGTCTTTAAAAAACTGTATTTTTTAAGGGACATACCTGGCCGGCAAAAAAAAACAGTTTCCATTTTTTAAGAAAATACTGTTGTTTAACGGTCTCCTATTCTTTAAGAGGCCTTCCTCGGAAGATTCTAGGAACTTGTTTTTTGATATGTTCATCATCAATCTTTTTGGGATTGTGTGTCAGATGAAAACCAGCTTGCCTGCCGCTTGAACAGATGCTCACAAGCAGAAGACGTGAAGGTGAGATGGAAGATGAAAACGTGATGAGTGAATGCATGTAAATTATCCCCCTTGGAATTTCCACTAAAAAATGCAACAACCCGGGTTGTCGCAAAAAACGTTTTTTTTTAATGCAAAAACATATGATTTTTCCACATGGCTACCCCGGAGTCCCCATTTTTTGCAAAGGCTTCCTAGGTCATGTTTTTTTTTAGAGAGCATTTTGAGGGGCAATAGACAAGCTCTTTGAATTTTTGCGATTTGCTAAAACTGCTGTTGTGCGCCGGCCATCGTTTGTATCGCAGATGACCCAAACAAGTTTCAACATTGACAACACATTTCAACTGATTTTTCAACAAGGACATTCTTCAGGGACGCCGGACTATTGCACATTTATGAGCGTTTTAAAACAGAGCGTTTGAACATCATATGGTGTTATCCCTCTTGGAATTTTCCCTGGCTAAAACATAAGCCAACCCGGGTTATCAGTTCCCCCTTGATTCTTTAGAGATTTAATTTGGAACCCTAAGTTGAGTTTGTCAATGTTTAAGGACACCCTTCCCTGTGTCGGGAGGCAGGACCTGATTCTTTAGTGGCACCCTCCCCAAATTATCCCAAGTTGTAGGGTCGACAGGCCTGAGCCTTTAAAGAATCAAAACGCCAGCTCGAACCCAGTCCAGGTCTCATATCTAGATGTCCCCAGGAAATCCCCAAGATCAGGCATAACACCAATTGTCTCTAGAAGATCCATTGAAACCCACTGTGTCCGGAGGTAGGACCTTATTTTTTAATGGCACCCTCCCAAAAAATAATCCAACTGTGAAAAGCTGCCAGGTTTTGCAGGGTCGACACGCCCTGAGCCTCTAAAGAATCAAAACACCAGCTCAGAAAAAACAGTGTTTTGGCAGGACCTGATTCTTTAAGGACACCCTTCCCTGTGTCGGGAGGCAGGACCTGATTCTTTAGTGGCACCCTCCCCAAGATATCCCAAGTTGTAGGGTCGACAGGCCTGAGCCTTTAAAGAATCAAAACGCCAGCTCGAACCCAGTCCAAGTCTCATATCCAGACGTCCCCGGAAATCCCCAAGATCCCCAGGCATAACACCAATTGTCTCTAGAAGATCCATCGAAACCCACTGTGTCCGGAGGTAGGACCTTATTTTTTAATGGCACCCTCCCAAAAATACCCCAAACTGTGAAAAACTGCCAGGTTTTGCAGGGTCGACACGCCCTGAGCCTCTAAAGAATCAAAACACCAGCTCAGAAAAAACAGTGTTTTGGCAGGACCTGATTCTTTAAGGACACCCTTCCCTGTGTCGGGAGGCAGGACCTGATTCTTTAGCGGCACCCTCCCCAAAATATCCCAAGTTGTATCTAAAGAATTAAAACACCAGCTCGAACCCAGTCCAGGTCTCATATCCAGACGTCCCCAGGAAATCCCCAAGATCCCCAGGCATAACACCAGTGGTCTTTAGAACATCCATCAAAACTCATCGTGTCCGGAGGCAGGACTTCATTCTTTAATGGCACCCTCCACCAAAGAACCGGACACCCGGGTCAAAGACGGAATACAAAAGGGGGATATGTTGTTTACAATCAATTTTGATCAAACCAGAAAAATGGAACAAGAGGAGGCAGCCAAAGACAACGCTTTGGCAGAAGCTTCTGCCATGACAAAAACAGAAGCCGCTAATCTGGCATGGGCAAAAGAAGGGCAAATTTCATCTCCGGTGTGCAAAGGAATCATTTGGGTAAGTTTGGTGTTTTTTATGTTTGTTGATGTCCGCACGGCTAACACGGACGCCCTATTTTTTAGACGTTTACTTTTGTATTTGTTTTTTTTTTGTGTTTTTTTTTGTATTTGTTGTAGTTGGTTGCCTGGGCCATGATTTTTTAGATGGTCTTAGACCCCCTTGCATCCTAGGTAGGCATTCTTTAGATGTGCCATTTCAGTAGTGCAAGGTGGACCTCCGTTTTTTGTCTAAAGAATGCTGGAGTCCATGTGAGCAGGATAATTCCAAGGAGAATTGTAAATGCAAGAATTTGTGTTAAAACACCTTCCAGAGTTGAAGAATGTTAAAGATGTGCTTTCAAAATTCACCTAAAGATGCCTAATAAATTCTAATAATCCTAATATGGACACAAATAAATAAGTTTATATGTTCTCATATAATTGCATGCGCATCTTTTGTTGATGATGCTTGACTGCGCCGTCGTCCATTCGACTGCAACTTGGGTATCCAATTCTTTAAAGGGGCACCCCTTCGTGTGCAACTTGGGTCTCCAACCCTTTAAAGGGACATACCTGGCTACTGTGTTGCAATCTTGGTTCATTGGGGTTAGATTCTTTAAGGCTGAAATTTGCCCTGGTTCGCATTCTTTAAGAGGCTACCAGTGGTCCCTTAAAGATTCAGGGGCCAGGGTCGGGACCCGAATTGCAAGGGGGATTTTCTCTATATAAATTGAATGAAAACAAGAAAATCACACATTTTTTGTTTAAAAAAATGTTGTATTTTTCATTCGGTTTTAAATACAAAAGTGTATCAAAATGCTTTAAAACATGTGTTTAGTATAAACAGAAAGGAAAGAAATACAAAAAAAATCAAAAATATGTGATTTTCATTTTTTATACATACATTATTTTGAAACAAGTAAAGAAATTTAAAAAATATAAACGTGACATTTCTCATTTTCCCGTTGTGGCCATGTGGCCTGGAGCAGGGAAACAGAAGGGAAACTCCGGAGGTCCACCAGTCCCGGGTTGGGTCGAAGTCCTCGAGCCTTGTTACTTTTTTTGAGAAATACACCAGTGAAAAAATTTTTTAGCAGCAGTTTTCATCCTTCTCGGACAGGATGTGTCTGGATGTGCCATCTTAGTGTTCCTTGGCACACCCGGGACAATCCCCCAAAAATTATCCAAAACTGGTGTTTGATTGTTTTTGCAAAATATGGTAAAAAGATCGGAAAATCAGGCCGCCCAAAAGTGCTCAATCTCTTATTGTGTCATATGTGAAAAAGGTGGTTTTGAGGCGCTGCGTTTCATTTTTTCGGAATCAACGTGCCTGGATGTGCCATCTTAGTGTTCCGTGGCAGCCTCCCAAAAAATGTCTGGCCACCCAAAAACGCTTAACCCCTTGCTGGTTCCTATGTGAAACAGTCGGTTTTGAGGTTCTGCTGCTCATTTTTCATATTTTTCGCAGTGGAAAGGAGGGAAAGAACCCAACCATCCAAAAGGTAGTTTGAGCAGCAGTTTTCATCTTTCTCGGACAGGATGCGCCTGGATGTGCCATCTTAGTGTTCTGGTAAAATCATTGAACAGCAATGAAAACTAGTGGAAAACATGGGAAATGTCGAAAAATGAAAAGAAACACTGAGAAATAATGAAAAATAGTGACACATATCTTAAAACTTAAAATGTTAATCATTCAGAGCTGGGGATGGCAGGCTCGAGGACTTCGACCCGGGGACGGGAGGCTCGAGGACTTCGACCCAACAAAAGGGGAACACACCGGGGCAATCCACCAGGGTCCTACAACAGCATAAGGAAAGAGAACGAGGAAACAAAAGTGGAAACAAAATGGAAACATGAAAAATGAAAAGAAAGGAAATGTCATATTGATAATTTCTATTTCTTTGAACTATTTTAAAATAATGTTTCTTTAAATAAATTGAGCGAAAACAAGAAAATCACACATTTTTTGTTTAAAAAAATGTTGTATTTTTTCATTCGGTTTTAAATACAAAAGTGTATCAAAATGCTTTAAAACATGTGTTTAGTATAAACAGAAAGGAAAGAAATACAAAAAAAATCAAAAATATGTGATTTTCATTTTTTATACATACATTATTTTGAAACAAGTAAAGAAATTTAAAAAATATAAACGTGACATTTCTCATTTTCCCGTTGTGGCCATGTGGCCTGGAGCAGGGAAACAGAAGGGAAACTCCGGAGGTCCACCAGTCCCGGGTTGGGTCGAAGTCCTCGAGCCTTGTTACTTTTTTTTTAGAAATACACCAGTGAAAAAAAAATTAGCAGCAGTTTTCATCCTTCTCGGACAGGATGTGCCTGGATGTGCCATCTTAGTGTTCCTTGGCACACCCGGGACAATCCCCCAAAAATTATCCAAAACTGGTGTTTGATTGTTTTTGCAAAATATGGTAAAAAGATCGGAAAATCAGGCCGCCCAAAAGTGCTCAATCTCTTATTGTGTCATATGTGAAAAAGGTGGTTTTGAGGCGCTGCGTTTCATTTTTTCGGAATCAACGTGCCTGGATGTGCCATCTTAGTGTTCCGTGGCAGCCCCCCACAAGCGGTGTTGAAAAAAACATCTCGCGACCCAAAAACGTTTCTCCCTTTTTTGCTTTGAATGTATAATTCAATGACCCGAACCCCTGTGCGCAGATATTGCAATTTTCTCGGCGATTCTTTGGCCGTGTGCCATCTTTACTCTCCTTCATTTTCCTGGCCTGGTTTGAAGCTGTAATTCAATGACCCGAACCTTACTGAGCGTCACTGCGCGCAGATATTGCAATTTTCTAGGTGATTCTTTGGCAGTGTGCCATCTTTACTCCTCATTTTCCTGGGCAGGACCTTGATTTTGCCGTTGTAGGAGCCGTTGTCAAAACTCATTGTCTTCCCTAAGTTCCCGAAAAAGGGTATTGCTTTTGGGGGGTGGGCCTATCGCTATCCATGGTTTTGTCAAAAATAGGAAAGGAAAAGGAACAGAAAAGGAAAAGAAAACGAAAGGAAGAGGAAAGGAATGAAGAGGAAAGGAAGGAAGAGGACAGGAAGAGGAAATGAAGAGGAAAGGAAGAGGAAAAGGAAAGGAAAAGGAAAGGAAAATGAAAGGAAAACGAAATAAAGATGAAAGGAACAGGAATGGAAGAGGTAAGGAAGGAAGAGGTAAGGAAGGAAGAGGAAAAGGAAAGGAAAAGGAAAGTTTGAACTGTACCGAACTAACTAACTAACTAACTAACTAACTAACTAACTAACTAACTAACTAACTAACGCACTAACTAACTAACTAACTAACTAACTAAATATATATATATACACGTATGTATGTATGTAATGTAATGTAATGTAATGTAATGTAATGTAATGTAATGTAATGTAATGTAATGTATGTGTGTATGTATTTATGTAATGTATGTATGTATGTATGCATGTATGTATGTATGTATGTAATGTATGTAATGTATGTAATGTATGTAATGTATGTAATGTATGTAATGTATGCAATGTATGCAATGTAATGTAATGTAATGTAATATAATGTAATGTAATGTATGTATGTGTATATATATATATTTATTTTGATATTTAGGCGGCTAAGATGGCACACAACTGCCTTGTATAGCAGTGTGGCATCTTCGGCCCCACGGGTGGACCTCTTTGACCCCTGCGATTTTTTGGAAAAATGCCTGTTGTCATTTTCTCAGATCTTCTCGGCCTCATTGCATTCAGAAATTTCAGAGATTGGAGATTGGGAAACAAGGCCTTCGTGTCATTTCCGGGTACACATGTCTACCACTGTAATTACTAATTACCATGCTTTGGTTCCTCCCAAAAAATGTCCAGGCGCTTATTCAACACGATGGAAGCCTGCCCATCTTAGTGCACCTGGTTTCGGTGTGCCATCTTACCGTGAATCCCTATATATCATCGTTGCTGCAGGACATCAATCTGCATAGATCCTGTAGGAAATGTCAAACAGGACCCAACTGCCTTAAGAAAATCACCACATAGTGACATAGCGAAGCCACTTGCACTTGCTAAATAGTCACAGTCAGGGCTCTGCCGTCTTTGCCGCAGTTGACTGCATATTTGCATCTTCGCCACGGCGCTTCGCAAGGCCACAAAGGTGATCTCCAAGCTGGTCAACACTGCTCCATTGGCACAGGCAAGATGCAAGATGAATACAAAATGAATACAGATGAATGCAGATGACTCGCAATGTCACAATATGTCACAATATGTCAAAATGTATCAAGATGCCTCATGTGGCCTATGTGTGAGCCTCATGCTTCGCCAGCGATCTTGTGGGTTCGTGAGCCTTTGATGCAAAAAACTATTTGCCAGTATGTTGGATATCATATCTCACATATATATATATTTTTTATATGTGTATATATATACATATACATGTGTATGTAACCATATGTCTTTATATATATATGTATTGATATATATATATATGTATTTAAATAAATATAATATAAATAAATAAATATGTATATATATCTATATAGATATACACATATGCACACACACACATATATATATGTATCTATATATATTTGTCGAAGGAAGTTTAGAAGTCAAACTTCCGACAATATGGACAGATGAAAAGCAGAGATGGGAAGAGTCAGAGAAGAGACGAGGAGAAGAAAGAGGAAGGTTCAGAAGAAAGAAGATCCAGGTGCGCGAAAAGGTAGGAAAGTCGCGAATTCCAATGATTTGTGGCTCCGGAGGGTCGAAAAGTAGGGTCGCTAAAGCGGCGGGTGCGGAGCCAGCTGGCCAGATGAGAGATGAAAAGTTGCATGCCGTTGTGGCGCGAAGCACATTTGGAAGTCAAAATGTACAAAACACCTCAGCTTCGGACCACTTTTGGAAGTTGAGATGTCCAAAAAGTGCATGCCGTTCTGGCGCGAAGCACATTTCGAAGTCAAAATGTACAAAGCACACCAGGTCCGGACCACTTTTGGAAGTTGAGATGTCCAAAAAGCGCACGCCGTTGTGGCGCGAAACACATTTCGAAGTAAAAATGTTAAAAACACCACATGTTCGGACCACTTTGGAAGTTGAGATGTCGAAAAAGTGCACGCCGTTGTGGCGCGAAGCACATTTCGAAGTCAAAAGTAAAAAACACCGAGGGGTTTGGAGCACTTTTGGACGTTCAGATGTCGTTTCGCATGGCAGGCGCAAGGGATTGTGCACCTTGTCAAAACGTGAGGGTTTTGTAACATTCCAAAAACGATGGCAGGCGTGGGGCATTTGAAGAGGATCTGCACAGATGCATTTTCCCTGGCAGGCGCAGTACAAGAGACATGTTCATCAGAGCTTCTAACCTGATTTCCTGAGACGGGTTGCATTTTGGAGCATCAGATCTGTAGGTTTGCTAAGATGATTTTGCGTGACAGGTGCAGCACTTCGTATGACCTGGCATCACTTTTTCGTAGCAGGCGCAATACTTTAGACAGGTGGAGTAGAAAAATCTCAAAACGCATTGGCACAAGGCCGTCAGCTCTGCACTCAACTTTCCATGTTTGAAGGACGTCTCGCAGGATTGCTTCGTTTTTGGTGTTGTCAAGTTCAAAAATTGAGGAAGTCTCGCAGACTTGCTCTGTTTTGGATGGTGTCAAGTTTAAAAATTGAGGAAGTCTCGCAGAATTGTTTCGTTTTTGACGTTGTCAAGTTCAAAAATTGAGGAAGTGTCGCAGAATAGCTTCGTTTTCAAGCTTGCAGATAGACAGATAGACAGATAGACAGATAGATAGACAACTACAACTGCAACTGCAACTACAACTACATTGCACTACACTACACTACACTACACTACACTACACTAATTACACTACACTACACTACACCACACTTCACTACACCACGCTACACTACACTACACAAACCACAACTACAGCTACAACTACAACTACGCTACTTTACACCACACTAATTACATTACACTAGACTGCACTACACTACATTGCACTACACATTACACGACACTACACTGCACTCAAGTACACGGCACTACACTACAACTACAACTGCAGCTACAACTACAAATACAACTACATTACATTACACGACACTACACCATACTACGCAACACCACACCACACCACACTACACTACACTAACTGCAACTACAGCTAAAACTACATTCACGCTACTTTTTGCTACACTACACTACACTGCACTCATTACACCACCACAAATGCAACTGCAACTGCCGCTACACTAATTACACTACACCACAACTACAGCTCCACGACATTACAACTACAGCTGCGCTACACCACACTAGATCCAGCAGTTGCGGGTGAGGTGGCCGACCAGGTGACCACTGCAACCATTGCAACCAGTCCGAAAAACACAACTCCAACCACCTTTCGGTCCATCAGTGGATTCGCTCTGCCATCCGTGATTCACAACAACCAACCTCTCCTATAGGTTTCCTATTTTTGAAACTTCCGCCACCGCCTTGTGCGGTACTACTGGTATAAATATATATAGATATATTTATACATATATATATATACATACATATGTACATATATGTACATATATGTACATACACATACATACATACATACATACATACATACATACAGACAGACAGACAGACAGACAGACAGACACACAGACAGACACACAGACGGACACGCAGACAGACACACAGACAGACACACAGACATACACACAGACATACACACAGACAGACACGCAGACAGACACACAGACAGACACACAGACATACACACAGACATACACACAGACATACACACAGACATACACACAGACATACACGCAGACATACACACAGACATACACACAGACATATACGCAGAGATACACACAGACATACACACAGACATACACACAGACATACACACAGACATACACACAGACATACACACAGACATACACACAGACATACACACAGACATACAACAGACATACACACAGACATACATACACACAGACAGACACACAGACACATATGGTCCCGTCTTCCGTCTCTGTACCTCTCGCATACAGGTTCCTCCCCCCCGATCCCTCTCCACATTAAACACTAGGACTCTGCCCTCATCTCCTCCCATCCCAAACAATGCCCAGTACGAATCTAATCTTGCCTGGTTCTTCTTGACTTGCTATGCTGCTATATGAGATACCTAGGTACCAAATACTGTCATAGCTTACATATTACCTGCAAACTATAATCTATTGCAGGCCTATATGTATACATGTATTTGTATATATAGATATTTAAAAATCTTTACAGCCTGTATATTTCTAATAGCATACCTATATATATATACCTAACGCTATATACCATATATGTAACGTCTATAACCGAATATATGTATATATAGGCACACACACACACCTAACATATAACCCATTGCATACCTATATGCAACCTATACAGTATATTGCTCTTGTCGTGCCTATGTACCTAAGACTACATACTTAATCTTTAGCCTATAATATCTAATATATACCTAATGTAATACCCATTGCATTCCAAAATAGCTAAATACCTATATGCAACCTGTATCTAACCCGCAGAACGATATACCTAATATCGGTTGAATACCAATTTACGTAACTGCCACCCCCCACCACAGCCACTACCACAGGGGGAGAGGTGAGCTATCCCATGGGGGTGGGAGAGGGGTTGCAGTGTCTGGTGCATATGTATTTTGTTTGCACACACCCGTATACATGCAGAGTTTATATATATATATATCTATGTGAAATATATTGTGTGAAAAATTCAAGGCAGCAGTCTGTTCTCTCAGCTGTTGCTGTGCACGCTCACTTTTGTATCTGTTGGCACATGGCTCAAGGCCTGTTGGAGCCAAAGCGTTGCATGCAGTGTTTTGCTTAACACCGCCCCTCAACTTGTTGTTCCTTCGAACAGCATGTTGGACTGAAAAACATCATGTTTAAATGGGGACGTGGGAAAAGCTCTGCACAGACTGATCGCTTATAATTTTACATCTGTTTTCAGCTGCAGATGGTGGCATGAACCAGCCTGTTTTCCTGCAGGTGTTGAGCTCCGTGTTGCGCTCATCACTCTTCTATATTGTTTCTGGGTGTTCACCCAAGGATGTTGCAGCTTCACCCCACGACTGTTTTCAATGGGTTAGTCTCCCATGTTGTCGTCACTCAATCCTGTTGGTCTGCATACTCAGGCCCAGCGCCCATGTTGGCGTCTTAACACTGAGGTTTGATAGGTGTCGAAGTCCTGGTGAGTTTTGGCAAATTGGAGTATTCCATCATCCTTGGGCTTGCCTGCTACGTTGGTCTATGTTGAGCAAGGCAGTCTTGGACTGCTTGCATGCCTGAATTCCGGGCCATGTAGCAAAGCAACGCGCCACGCATGATCAGTTGTTGCTACCGGCTGGGATAGCGAAGCTCCACACATAGCCGTTGTTCCAGCTCAAGTCTGTTGCCAGCTTGTAGAAAATGTTGGTACCGTCGACTGGGGTGATCTCCCAGATCTGTGTTGGCACCTCATGTTCAGTTGAGGTGACCAATGTCACCTCCTCTTTCCGCCATACCTTGATACTATTCTGTTGTCAAACATGCGTGTTGCCTGGATGTTGAGGCTCGGCACGAGCCAGTCATCCATTGTTGTTGTCACGTGGGCCCCACCACGGCTGGCACGCGATGTTGGTCGACTCAGCACATCAGGCATGTTGAACAGCCTGTCCAGCCTGTTGTCACACTTCTGACTTTTGTGGAAGGGGTTATGGAAACCAAAAGGACCGAGGCTCCATACTGTTGTCCACAAAGTGCTGCCAGCCGCACATGCTAAATTCAACAATTTCGATGTAATCTTTGACCCAAAACTAGACGACGAATGGCCCGAGAGCGTAGAAGAGCATGTTACTCTCTTGTAAGTAGTATCAAAGACACTGTAGGTGAAAGCTTCATTGAAGATGATGCAGATGATCAGCAGAAAGGAGATAGAAATGGTATGTCAGATTCTAAGCAGAAGTAGACAAAGATAGGCACAAAATTTGAGAGACCGACAGAGACAGACAGCAAAGAAACACATACACACACAGACGCACAAACAAAGATACCACACGCACACACACACAAACAGAACACAAAGAGGAAGACACATACACGCACACACACACAGGCACAGACACACACGCA